GTTAGTCGGGGAAAGCCATTGGGAGGTCGCTGGTAGGACAAGGGGCGGCTTGGCCGCTGTGTGTCCAGGCCCTGTCTGTGGCTTCTCGGGTCGCGGGCGGGGTAAGGAGTCTCGCCCGCCCCATGCGTCCCGTCCCCAGGTCCAGAACGTCTCCCAGTCCATGGAGGTGCTTGAACTGCGGACCTATCGGGACCTCCAGTATGTGCGCGGCATGGAGACCCTCATGCGGAGCCTGGACGCGCGGCTCCGGGCAGCGGATGGGTCCGTCTCGGCCAAGAGCTTCCAGGTGGGTCCTCGGGCTCAGGTCAGAGGTCAAGGGAACAGCTGGGACTGGCGACCCTTGGTCCCAGGGGTCTTGTCTTCCAGGAACTGAGGGCTGCTGGGATCTAGGCCCAGCGTGGGCCAGCTGTCAAGGGGGCAGGTGTGCATCAGAGACAAAGGCACGTCTGGGTCAAAGGGCAGGGGTCAGAGTTGGCCACGGTGGCATCTCCGCGGCAGGAGCTGAAGGACAGGATGACCGAGCTGTCACCCCTGAGCTCCGTCCTGGAGCAGTACAAGGCGGACACGCGGACCATCCTGCGCCTGCGGGAGGAGGTGAGGAATCTCTCCGGCAGCCTGGCGGCCATCCAGGAGGAGATGGGCGCCTACGGGTACGAGGACCTGCAGCAGCGGGTGATGGCTCTCGAGGCCCGCCTCCACGCCTGTGCGCAGAAGCTGGGTATGCCCTGACCCTGACCCTTGACCCTCACGTCCAACCCCACCGGGGCATCCCATTAACCTCCAGCATCTAAATTCCAACTCCGACCTCCCTACTCAAGGTCCAACCCAGGTCCAGAAGCTGTTAATGCCCTTGACCCTTGACCCTTGACCCCACCCTTCTCACCTGCAACCTGACTCCACACTGGGTCCAATTTCTGGATCCTCCTTCACCCCAACCCCAGACTCTCTCAGTTTGATTCGAACACTTCGTCCAGGCCCTGTTCTTGGGCTTTTCCATCCTCCACCCTCATCCCCTCTTCCTGCCTCCCCAGGCTGCGGGAAGCTGACCGGGGTCAGTAACCCCATCACCATCCGGGCCATGGGGTCCCGCTTTGGCTCCTGGATGACCGACACCATGGCTCCCAGTGCGGACAACCGGGTGAGTGACCCGCCCCCCTCAGATCGGAGTCTGGGAGGAGCAGAGCCCATGGGTTTCCAAGGAGCCCACGCCAATGGGCTTGACTGGTCACCAATGGACCAAGGACCTCCCAACCCTACAGCAGATGGCGAATGGTTATGTCCCTGCACCTCCACGTAGATGACCGCAGTTCCAGTCTTGGACCTGGTGGCTTAAAACTTATGCCAGGCATGGGACCAGCAGTTAGTGTAATGGCTATGTCGCTGGACTCCCATGGAATCGACCACGGTTCGAATCCTGGACCCGGTGGCTTAAACTCACTCTGGGAGCGTGTGCATGCATGCCCAAGATCCCGAGAGGAGAGTGGAAGAGAAAGGATTGTGGCGTGGCCATCCCTCCTGGGGGGTGATTTCTCGCTTTCTCTCTCTCTCTGTCTTTCTGGCGAGCGCATGCACCCTATAGCAAAACAATTAAAAAAAGAAACTTAAGCCGGGCATGAGTGCGTGCATGACCAAAATCCTGAGAGGAGATGGAGAAGGGATTGTGATATATGATCATCCCTGCCTGGGAGGTGATTTCTCACTTTCTCTCTGGTTCGAGTCCTGGACCTGGTGACTTGCTTTTTCGCTTTCCCTCTCTCTCTTGTCAAATGAAAATAATAATAAACAAAAATAAATAAACAATTTAAAAACATAAAAGCTTGGGTTGGGGAATCAGCTTTAGATTTGCCTTTTGGTTTCACCCCTTCTTAGTGGGAGACCCTTGGACAGGTTCCTTCTTACCTCTGCATCTTAATTTCCCAATCTTCAAAACGGTCATGATGACAATGGACTTAAAAAAATGTTTATTTAGTCATTTATTTCAATTTGATTAGAGAGAAAGAGAGAGCGAGAGAGACAGAAAGTGAGAAAGCAAGCCACCAGGTCCAGGACTCGAACCATGGTCAGCCATGTGGGAGTGTCCAGCACCTTAACCCATGCCATCTGCGGGTCCCTGACCATTGACTTTTCTTTTTTTTTTTTTGAGAGGTTTTTGCTATAGGGCGCGTGTGCTCGCCAGACAGACAGAGAGAGACAGAGAGACAGAAAGCGAGAAATCACCCCCCAGGGGGGATGGCCATGCTGCAATCCCTTCTCCTCCATTCTCCTCTCGGGATCTTGGGCACGCACGCACAGGCACCTGCTGTGAGTTCTAAGCCACCGGGTCTGGGACGCGAACCGCGATCGACTACATGGGAGTCCAGAGACATAGCCATTACGCTAACTGCTGGTTCCCACCATTGACATTTTTAAGAGACTTAAGATCCTTAGCTCAGTAACCAGCACTAGTTAGGACACTGACAAATGCCGATTAATATGATGACAAAGACGGTAACATGTCTGGTCACCTCATGGTTCTAGGGATAATCATGGGCAATGAATTCAAGTGACCTCTTACCACCCGCTGGCTCTGCAGTGACCCCTAACTGCCCGGTACCCACTGACCAGTGAGTTCCCAGGGACTGCAAATACCTCCAGTCCTTTGAGATCAAGCATCTTCCACTTAGTGTTTTTTTTTTTTTCTTTTTCCTTTTCCTCTTTTTTTAAGTTTTTCCATAGGGCTCATACACTTGCCAGAGAGAGATAGAGAGGGAAAGTGAGAAGTCACCCCTCACCCCCGGAGGATGGCCACGCTGCAATCCCTTCTTCATCTTCCCCTTGGGATCTTGGGCACTTACACACATGCACCTGGTGTGATTTTCAATTCACTGGATCCGGGACTTGAACTGTGGCCAGCCATGTGGGCATCTAGTGCCTTAACCATCACACCATCTGCTGGCCCCCACTCAATGTCTGTTTTAAGACCAACAGCACCCTTGGGGCTGGCAGGTGGCATGGTGGTTAAGGGCACTGGATTTCCACATGACCGACCATGGTTTGAGTCCCAAGTCTGGCAGCTTGCTTTCTTAACTTTCCCTTTTTCTCTCTCTCTGGTCATATTTTTAAAACAAATAAATAAATAAACTCATTATTTAAAAAAATAATAACAATGAATAAAATAAAATGTGTAAAAAGACCAGGGCTGGTAGGTGGCATGGTGGCTAAGGGCAGTGGACTCCCACATAGCCAATCACAGTTCGAGTCCCAGACCTAGTGATTAGCTTTCTGTCTCTCTTACTCTGCCCCTCTCTGGTCAAATTAAAATAAATAATAGAATTAAATCAAATAATAATTCTTTTTTTTTTTTTTTGAGAGGTTTTTGCAACAGGGTGCGTGCGCGCGCCAGACAGACAGAGAGAGAGAGACAGAAAGCGAGAAATCACCCCCCAGGGGGGATGGCCACGCTGCAATTCCTTCTCCTCCATTCTCCTCTCGGGATCTTGGGCACGCACGCGCACGCACCCAGTGTTGAGTTTTTAAGTCACCGGGTCCGGGACTCGAACTGCAGTCGACTACATGGGAGTCCAGCGACATAGCCATTATGCTAACTGCTGGTTCCAAATCAAATAATTCTTAAAAAAAAAAAAGAAAAGAAAAAAAGACCAACAGCACCCATCGGCCATCCATTTCTGGCACTGGGATGATGGCTGGCTAGCCTGGCTTCTTCATGGCTGCTGGTCTCTCATGACCGCTGCCGCCTGGTGGGTGGGACCTTGGAGCCATCGCGGCGGTGGCCCTGCAGTGACCAGGCTCTACCCTCGCAGGTCTGGTACATGGACGGCTACTACAAGGGCCGGCGCGTCCTGGAGTTCCGCACGCTGGGGGACTTCATCAAAGGCCAGAACTTTATCCAGCACCTGCTGCCGCAGCCGTGGGCGGGCACGGGCCACGTGGTGTACAACGGCTCCCTGTTCTACAACAAGTACCAGAGCAACGTGGTGGTGAAGTACCACTTCCGCTCGCGCTCCGTGCTGGTGCAGCGAAGCCTGCCCGGGGCCGGCTACAACAACACCTTCCCTTACTCGTGGGGCGGCTTCTCCGACATGGACTTCATGGTGGACGAGAGCGGGCTCTGGGCCGTCTACACCACCAACCAGAACGCGGGCAACATCGTGGTCAGCCGGCTGGACCCGCACACCCTGGAGGTGGTGCGGTCGTGGGACACGGGCTACCCCAAGCGCAGCGCGGGCGAGGCCTTCATGATCTGCGGCGTGCTCTATGTCACCAACTCCCACCTGGCCGGGGCCAAGGTCTACTTTGCCTATTTCACCAACACGTCCAGTTACGAGTACACGGACGTGCCCTTCCACAATCAGTACTCGCACATCTCCATGCTGGATTACAACCCCCGAGAGCGGGCCCTGTACACCTGGAACAACGGGCACCAGGTGCTCTATAATGTCACCCTCTTCCACGTCATCAGCACTGCCGGGGACCCCTAGGCCAGCCTCCGCAGCTCGGGCTGCTAGGAGAGGGCCGCTGGGCATCCTGCCCCCCCTGCCTGTGTCCCTCCCGAGTTTCTTCTTTCTGTCTTTGTCGCATCCGTCTGCTCTCCCCGCTCCGTTGGGCCCCACGTTCATTTCCATCAATGCATTGTCACGTCTTGATGGCTCTCTGCCTTTTCTATGACTGTCCCTCTGTGTCTCTTCTTTCTACCGATCTCTCTGGGTCTCGTTCCCTGTCTCTGCCTCTCTTTGTCTCTCTCGATAGCCCCTCCCACCCCTTCCCTTTCTCTTCACTTCCCTTCCAGTTCCTGATCCCTCACGCCTCACTTGCACCCCCAGGAGTTGAGTGCATGGACTGGGTTCTTTGTTTTTTTTTTTTTTTTTTTTTTAATCGACACGTTTTTTTCTTTCCGGGGTGAGCCGGAATAAACGGGACCTTTGACATTTGACGCTTGGATTGCTTTGTACGTCTGCTGGGGTGGAGGTGGGAGGTAAGACTGGAGACCCAGTGCTCTGATTTCAGGTTGAGTGAGCTGGGGTGGGTGGGAGAGCTCGTGGGGGCTGGCGGGGGGTGCAGGGAGAGATGGAACACACCCCTTCCCAGGCTGGGCCCTTGGGGAAGACAAGTGAGGAGACCCAAGGCCCAACGCAAATTGGTTCTTTTTTTTTTTTTTTCAATTGTTAAAAGATAACGATTGGGACCAGCAGTTGGCATAATGGCTATGTCACTGGACTCCCATGTAATTGACCGCGGTTCGAGTCCCAGACCTGGTGGCTTACACTCACGCCCGGCACGTGTGTGTGCGTGCCCAAGACCCTGAGAGGAGAATGGAAGAGAAGGGATTGCAGCTGCAGTGTGGCCATCTCCCCTGGGGGGTGATTTCTCACTTTCTGTCTCTCTGTTTCTCTCTGTCTTTATGGCGAGCGCACGCGCCCTATAGCAAAAACTTGTCAAAAAAATTATTTAATTTTTTAAAAAGAATTGTTTTATTTAGATTTATTTATTTATTTTCATTTGACCAGAGAGAGAGAGAAAGAGAGAGGGAGAAAGAGAGAAAGCAAGCCACCAGGTCCGGGACTCCAATCGCAGTCAGTCAAGTGGGAGTGTCCAGCGCCCTTCACCACCACACCACCTACCAGTCCCGCATTTTAAGTTTATTTTCAATTTGACCAGAGAAGGACAGAGTGAGAATGAGAGACAGAAAAAGAGAAGGAAAGTGAGAAAGCAAACCACCAGGTCCGGGACTTGAACCTTGGTCAGCCATGTGGGAGTCCAGTGCCCCAACCACCATGCCAGCTGCCAGCCCCCAACCCAAATTTGTCTGGATCGAAAGCAATTCGTTTGAAAGCAGTCTGATACAACACCCGGGCATTCGATCACAATGAGGAAAATTGGCTCCAAGTGGCTATTCTCTGCCTATCCCTGGCTTTTCACTGATCGATGCCCCTGGTCGGTCTGGCGAGTTTTTAATGCCTTTTAAACAATTTGGCTGATTTCAGAATCTGGGCATCTGAGGAGGGAGGGCCAGTTGAATTTTCCCCCTTTTTTTTTTCCTCTTCCTTTTTGTTTCGTAATGTCAAAAACATTGTGCTTGGGAACCAGCAGTTAGCGTAATGGCTATGTCGCTGGACTCCCACGTAGTTGACAGCGGTTCGCGTCCGGGACCCGGTGGCTTAAAACTCACGCCTGGCGCGTGTGCGTACGTGCCCAGGATCCCGAGAGGAGAATGGAGGAGAAGGGATTGCGGCGTGGCCGTCCCTCCTGGGGGGGTGATTTCTCGCTCTCTGTCTCTCTGTCTGTCTGGCGAGCGCACGCGGCCTATAGCAAAAACCTCTCCAAAAAGAAAAAAACAAAAAACCCAAAACATTGTGCTTTAAATGCACCTTGCCAATTCTGAATTAACGCGTAACAGGGGCTAGGATCAGCCTAGAGGTGCACCGGGGTCAGCTGCATGGCCTGATGGTTCAGGCGGCTGGATCCTACATGGCTGAGTGTGTCTGTTCGAGTCCCAGATCTGATGGGCCTGTATTTGTGTGTGTCCCAAATCCCAAAAGGAGGTGAGAAGGGGTGGAGATGGGAACCAGCAGTTAGCGTAATGGCAATGTCGCTGGATTCCCACGTAGTCGACCGTGGTTCGTGTCCTGCACCCGGTGGCTTAAAACTCACTCTGGGTGCGTGTGCGTGCGTGCCCAAGATCCCAAGAGGAAAATGGAGGAGAAGGGATTGCAGCGAGACCATCCCCTCTGGGCGATGATTTCTCGCTTTCTGTCTCTATGTCTGTCTGTCTGTCTGGCGAGTGCACGCGCCCTAAAAACCTCTCAAAAAAAAAAAAAAAAGGGGGTGCAGAAAGGATTGCAGCAACCACTCCCACAGGGGGGGTACCCACAGGGGGGTGCTTCTCGCTTTTTCTTTCTCTGTCTCTCTTGGGCAAGAAGACATGTCCTCCAGCAACGTTTAAAAAACAAAACAAAATAAAACAATAAACTAGGGGGACCAGTAGATGGCGGAATGGTTATGGCGCTGGACTCCCATATGGCCGACCGCAGTTTGAGTCCCACACCCGGCAGCTTGAAACTCAGGCCCGGCACATGTGCGCACATGCCCAAAATCCTGAGAGGACAGTGGAGGAGACAGGATGGTAGCAAGGCCAACTCCCCATGTGGGGGATGATGTCTCGTCTTCTGTTTCTCCAGCGAGTGCACAAAAATCTCTCTCTCAAAAATAAAATAAAAAAGAACTAAAACAATAAAATAAAAATGGGGCGCGTGGCATTTTCAGTAGAACATAGCCACACCCCCACACCCTTTTGCCCCCAAGGGGCTTGGACGCAGATGGTCCCTGACTTGAAGACCAGAGCCAAAGACAGAAAGTCCTGGAAACAGGAGGGCGGGAGTCAGGAGGATACAGAAAGTGTAAAGAGAGTCAGAATCTTCTGGAACCTCAGAGATCCAGCCAAAGACGAGGCTGTGGTGGGGGTGGGGAAGGGGCCGGGCATGGGTCACGGCAGGGAAAAACGAGATGGAGGTCCTATGTTAGCCAGCCACCCGGAGACCTGCGTGAGGACTGGAGAAACTGGGGCAGGCAAGATGGTGGCCGAGAATACAGCAGGGATGGGTTGGTGCATGGCGGGCCCCACCGTGAGAGTCCTTATGGGGTGGCTCCTAGGAATCCAGGGCTGCAACTTCAAGCAGAGCCCCCCTCCCTCCAGGGAGTCCCTTCTCCCCATCTCTAATTAATGGCCTTCCTGATTAAATCATCAGCTCTCGGAGCAGGCATCTCCGGGAACTCGGACACGGGGCCATTTTGGGAAGGAAACCAATGAATAATAAATGGGACTGGTTAATGTACTCATTTAAAACCAATTTTTAAAGAAATCCTCCAGAAAAGCAATTAATTTTCATTTAAATGGACAAGTTTGATGGAGGAAAAGAATTGGTTTCTACATTAGCACACGGAGAGGCACTTTGCGTGTTCCCTCTGGAGGAAAAAAAAAATATTGGCACAGGGTTGGAACACTTCGAATACCTGTGCCCACCCTGTTACATCTCCCTGGAGGTGAATCTTCAGGGTGAGGGGCAGGGTGACACCTGAGGGTCGCTGCGTTCAACGCTTATCCAAAATGCTCTTGGCCCTGGAGACCCATATTCTCAACCCCAAGCACAGAGTTGGATGTGGGAGTGTCTGTTTCATCTGCACCCCAAGGCCTCAGACAGATGTCCATGGGCACCTGGTGTCACAACCGTGGGTTCTCTGTCACATATGCAACTCAGTGCTCCTACTGATGCAGGAATATGGGGGTGCAGGGGTGATCGAGCCCAGCGCCCTGCAGTAGGATATAGGGTCTTATCTCATCCTCATGAAGAATTAGAGACCACAGACACAGAGAGGGGATAGCAGGTGGTGTTTATTGAGAGGGTAGAAGGGGGGACCAGCAGATGGTGGAGTGGTTATGTCGGTGGACTTCCACATGGCTGACCGTGGTTTGAGTCCCAGATCTGGTGGCTTGAAAAATCACACTGGGTGCATGTGTCCCTAAGATCCTGGGAGAAGAATGGAGAAGAAGGGATTGTGGTGTGGTCATCCCCCCTAGAGAGTGATTTCACACTTTCCTTCTCATTATCTCTGTCTTTCCCCGCAGTGAGCATACGTACTCTAAAGCAAAAATCTCTTTAAAAAAAAAAGGGTGAAGGAAGAGCAGAGCTCCCCAAAAGGGAGTGAGTCCTGAAAAAGATGGGTTGCCAAGGAGAAACTGGGACAGGTTTTTAATCTGGGTTAGGAGGGGCTTTTTCCTGGCTTACTCTTGTGGACTTGTTCCCCTCGAGGTGGGGGACACATGCTGGATGGGTCCAGTTATACTCCTAACTTTGGAGTAGGTATGAAGGTCAGGAGATTTTTTTCATCTAGAAACTTTGAGCAATAAAAAACCATTATCTTGGGGACCAGCAGTTAGTGTAATGGCTATGTTGCTAGACTCCCATGTAATCAACCGCGGTTCGCGTCCCGGACCCGGTGGCTTAAAACTCACGCCAGGCACATGTGCGTGCATGCCCAAGATCCCGGGAGGAGAAGGGATTGCGGAGTGGCCATCTCCCCGGGGGGTGATTTCTCGCTTTTTGTCCCTCTGTCTCTGTCTGGTGAGCGCACGCGCCCTATAGCAAAAACCTCTCCAAAAACAAAAACAAAAACGAAAAACAAACATTATCTTGGTACCAGCAGATGTGTAATGGCTACGTCACTGGACTCCCAAACAGTCAACTGTGGTTGGAGTCCTGGACTTGACAGCTTAAAACTCACACCAGGCATGTTTGCATGTATGCCTAAGATCCCAAGAGGAGAATGGAGAAGGGATTGTAGTGTGGCCAACCCCCTGGGGGGGGGTGATTTCTTGCCTTTTTTCCTTTCTGTCTCTCTGGTGAGTACACGTGCCCTATAGCAAAAATCTCTCAAAACAAACAAACAAAAACAACCAACCATGATCTTATCTTTTCAAAATGTTAGTGGGGCTTGTAAAAAGGCTTTTGTGTTAGGTCTAGCCATGCTGCCTTGCTCAATCAATCATTGAGCCACCGCTGCAAGCCATCTCTCCCAAGGAAGCAGCTTTGTCCCTTAAAACTTAGCCATTTTGCGACTCCACTTTGGGTCTACACCCTAACTATATTCTTTACTTTCCCTTTTTTAAAAAAAAAATTTTAATGTTATTTATCATTATTATTATTATTTTTTCTAATTTGACCAGAGAGAGAGGGGAAGTGAGAAAACAAGCCGCTAGGTCTGGGACTCAAACCATGGTTGGCCATGTGGGGAGTCCAGAGCCCCAACCACCACACCACCTGCCAGTCTCATACCCTATCTATATTCTTAGGGTCCCTGTCTCTCCTATCTCACTACACCATGGTGTTGGTGGCTTGTTCCAATGGAGGAAGAGTGGGAGAGCTAGCACCCCCGCCCCTAGGCCAGGATCACGCACATGTATGTGGGGGTCCACCTGTCTAGGCGCCTGGGCTGTCTGTTGCTTGCTCCCACTCATTGTGGGCTCATACCTGACTATAAGGAATGGCAACAGAAATAATAATGAATGTGGTTTATTACTAAGCATGAATGTGAGTGACCAACCCGGAGAAAGACAAGTGGGTTTCTTGGGGTGCTCAGATACAGGTTCCTTTAATTAAGTTCTGAGGGGAGGAGGGTGGTCTATCAGCATAAGAAGCCTTTTCCATTGCTTTAGCCCCCAAAGGCATGACGTCTGGAAAGGGAGGCTTGTAGGTGATGGGTGAGGTTGAGACTCTTAAGATTGCTAATTGGTCAAAGAAAATCACAAGTCTCTGTTCCTGAACAAATCAGTAAAAAAAAAGTGCTTTATTCTAAGAGAGAAGGTTTACTATGGGGAAGAATGTCACTGGACTCCCACACGACCGGCCTGCGGTTTGGTTTGCATCCCAGGCCTGGTGACCTGAAAAATCACACCCCCAGGCCTGGTGACCTGAAAATCACACTGTGTGTGCTGCATGCCTGACAAAAGATCCCAGGAGGAGAATGGATTGCTGTGTGGCTATCTCCCCTGAGGGGAGATTTCTCACTTTCCCGCTCACTGTCTCTGTCATTCTCTCCGGTGAGTGCGTACACCCTATGGCAAAAACCTCTTTAAAAAAAAAAAAAGGCTAACTATGCAACATAAAACCACTAAGCCTGGGATGGGATGTAGTGTCCCACTTTCAATGGTCTTTTAATGTTTGTAGGCCTGACTCTCTGAGGGCCCCCTGGGAGCAACTTGGAATTGGAAAAAGGAGTCACAATTCTGTCCTCCAGGAAGAAGCTAGCCCCGGGCAATAATCCTGTCCTCCTGGTTGGAGGTAACAACACACCCACAGAGTGGAAATAACCCTGGAGGGCTGTCTGGTCTGGAAGGTGCTGGTCACACAGGACCTGAAGGAAGATTACACTCTGGCCCCCACCTGAAAGGCCTGAGATTTCTGGCTCCAATTCTGGGCAGGAAGGGGCTGTGGGATTTGGAGAAGGCAAAGGAAATCTGTGGCCGCTACTTAATAACCAATCACTGGGGTCAATAGGGCTGGTAGGTGGCGTGGTGGTTGAGGTGTTGGACTCCCACATGACCAGCTGTGGTTCCAGGACCTGGTGGCTGGCTTGTTTTCTCATTTTTTCTCTCTGGTTAAATAAAAAAAAAAATAATAGTAATAAATAAAATTAAATAAAGCAATTCTTCTTATTTATTTTTTTCTTTTTTTCAAGACAGAGAGAGAGAGAGAAAGTCAGAAAGCAAGCCACAGGTCCAGGACTTGAACTGTGGTCAGCCATGTGGGAGTTCAGCATCCTTAACTACCACTCCACCTGCTGGCCCAAATAAAGCAATTCTTTTTTTTTTTTTTTGGAGAGATTTTTGCTATAGAGCTCGTGCGCTCGCCAGACAGAGACAGAGAGACAGAAAGAGAGACATCACCCCCCAGGGGGGATGGCCACGCCACAGTTCCTTCTCCTCTATTCTCCTCTTGGGATCTTGGGCATGCACGCACACGCGCCTGGCGTGAGTTTAAGCCACCAGGTCTGGGACTTGAACCGTGGTCGTCTAAGTGAGAGTCCAGCGACATAGCCATTATGCTAACTGCTGGTCCCATAAAGCAATTCTTAAAAAGAAAAAGTAACTGTAGTTTGAGTCAAGAACCTGGTGGCTGGCTTGCTTTCTCACTTTTACTCTCTGGTCAAATTAAAAAAACAAAAAAATTAAATTAAATTAAATAATGCAATTCTTAAAAGGAAAAAAATAACCAATTACCTGAACAGACCTGCCTCTAGGGGTGTTTATTTATCAACAGCAGCGAAGTTCTTTCCCAGGTTGTGGCCAGAAAGACAAAGACGGAAGTTGGGACCATTAGGTGGCATGGTGGTTAGGGTGCTAGACACTCCCACATGGCTGACCATGGTTCGAGTCCTGGACCTGGTGGCTTGCTTTCTCACTTTCCCTCTCTCTGGCTTTCTCTGGTCATATTAAAAATAAATGAAATGAATAAATAAACAATTTTTGAGAGGTTTTTGCTATAGGGTGTGTGCTGGCCTGAAGGATAGAGACAGAAAACAAGAAATCACCCCCTAGGGGGATGGCCAAGCCGTAATCCCTTCTCCATTTTCTCTTGTGATCTTGGGCACGCACGCACACACGCCCGGTGTGAGTTTAAGCCACCGGGTCTGGGACTTGAAGTGCAGTTGACTACATGGGAGTCCAGTGACATAGCCATTGTGCCAGCTGCTGGTCCCAACGAACAATTCTTAAAAAAACAAAACAAAACAAAAATAAACCAGAGGGTGGAGGGAGAAGCCCAGTAAGGGTGGATGGTGCTCCCGGCAGGCGGAGTACCAGCCTTGCACAGGATGGGACCAGAGTCCCAGAGCCACTGAAGGACACTGTGTGGCTCTCCTGGAAGCATCTCATGAAAGTGGGGACCCCTGAGGAGCCCCGACCCTGGGTCCCCGGTGTGGAAACAGGAAGCCCACTCTTCAACTTGTTCCCTTGGAGCAGAGCTCAGCCTACCGGGCCACCCCGGGCCGTTCCTTCCGATCTTTCCCAAGGGCGTCACTGTAGCCCAACTAACTGGTGGCACAGAGAGCAAGCAGCTGCCAGGCTGGTGGCCCCCACAGGCCATAGGAGAAGAATATTCTGCCTGGAGATGTAGCTGACCAAGCCGGCACTCGCCCCAGCCCCCGGCACAGAGCTGCAGGGGGGAAACTCATTAAACCTTCCTAATGACAAACGCTCGCTCTTGCTCGCATGGGCAGGAGACGATTGCTCAGAGACTAGCCAGATGGGAGGGGGTCCAAGTGACTGTTTAGGATACTCAGCCCTGGCGGGGAGGGTCTGGCAGTCCCCTAGCCCTCCCTGCTGGCCACCCCTGCCCCTGAGCTGGCCCCCATGAGGGGGTCAGGGTAGGGGTCTACCTTTCTACCTAACAGACCCATGGATCCCTGGTGAAACCGCACCCCTGGGCCAGGCCCTGGCAGAGGTTCTGATGGGCAGATGGGCCACACCCATAGCTACCCACCCTGGCAGGGACCCCATAGGGAATAGAAGGTCACCACCTGTCACGGGAGTCCTTCTGCTCCCCAAGCCCCTCCTTACCAAGGCACCTGGCAGTAGCCCCCTCCCTTCCCCTCCAGTCCAGGGGCGCCCCAGTTGCTACGGTGACAACATCTGCAGAGGGTCTGGGCCTGGAGGCAGAAGTGCCTGTGGAGGCAGGGAGGTGGGCGTGGGGTGCTGGGCAGGATTTGTTCCGGTTGGAGGGAAGCCAGTGTGTGCCGGGGCTGGCGGGGGTGGCGGGGCCGGCGTGGTGGAACGGTCCCTAAAGCTCTCCGGGCTCCTCCCTTGTCGCTCTGCTTTCCTGAAAGCTGCAGGGTGGGGTGGGGCCCCTACACCCTTGCGGGGCACCCAGGGATGGTCTGGCACACGCAGAGTGGAGAACTGCTAGAATACCTGAAGCCCAGGACAGGGAGGTGTCTCAGGAGCAAGTGCAGTGTGGGGGCCCCCTGGAACCACGGCACCCCGCCACCCTCCCGCTTCACCTCACCAGGGAGCAAATGAGAGCCAGGACGGCAGAGCAGTGGTTCTGGGTTTAATCGAGGGTGCAAAGGGTACCGCGCTGCCATTCCTGGGGGGCGGGGGAGGAGCCCCTCACCAGGCAGCCGGGGCCCCGCCCGGGTGCGTTTGCTGCAGCTGGACAGACAACGTGGGTGGCTACGCCTCTAAGCCCCTCCAAGCCTCGCCTGCCCCTGGGACTTGGGGGTGGCATGAGGTGGGGGTGTGTGTATGGCTGAGCTGACTAGGCCTCTCTGGGGACCCTTCCCCTGTCCCTGCGTTCCGGGGCAGTCCCCCCTCCCCCCCCCACTGCCCTTCTAAAGTCAATTCCTTAAGTGAGAGAGGGGTCTGGCAGGTGGGGAGCAGGGACTCCAGATCCCCATCCCGAAGGCCCCGCCTCCCCAAGCCATTGTGGGGACAATGAATACTGTGAGCCGTTGACAGGGGCAGGCACCCAGTGGCGGGGGAGCAGGTGGGCACCCCCCCACC